TATATATACTCTATAAATATTTGGTATGTACCCTAAAGATATCAAGTATGTATAAACCAGGTACTAAATGGGCATGTATCCAATAAATTCACTTTTTTATTTGTACCCTATAAGTACTAAATAAATACACTTCATTTTACCCGATATGCACCCAGTAAGAAACAAAACGTACCCTGTAAGGACACTGTACATATCCAGTACATATCTGAAAGAATAAAATATGGAACCAGTACCTGGTATGTACCAAGATATTTATGGGCACTTGGATAGTAAGTACAGAGTATTGTACCATCTGGGATACATATCCTCTAATTACAGAGTATGAATCCTGTAAATATTGGGTACATAAATATAAATATCTCTGAAAATAAACACTCTAACATCGATTCAAGATGGCCGCCACAACCATCTTGGTTTCACAGAAACTGAACTAAAGTTTGGTTGGTAGTAGCTGAGGGTCATCCTCAACACAAACTGCGAGCTAACTTTAGCGTGTCAGCAGGTGACGCTGCTTACTGCTGCAGTGAACAGGTTTTATCTTTTCCTCACCTTCACTCGATGTTTGTGCAGATTCTTCTACAACAAAAGAAAAATTTATTTAAAAGATCTGACAAACAAAACAAAGGCACGAAGTAAAACAGATAAAATGTCAGAAAAATAATAATAAAAAAAAAAACAGACCGGGCAGCGACTTTCCACCTTTCTGTTCTACCGTGAGAAACAAAACAGAAACAAAATAATTACAAAAACAAATATTATTTTATGTTTTTGTACTCAGGTTAAAGGTTGGTATGTCTCTCACCGGTTCCCCGGCAGCCGTCCTCCAGCCTCCAGATGTTCACAGATTTATCCATCGACCCCGTGGCGATCAGCGGGGAGACAGGAGAGAAGCAGCAGGCCGTCACGTACCTGTGGCAGGAAAACCACAGCAGTATTTAAACTACTGTAGTATTTAAGCTACCGTAGTATTTAAACCATTGTAGTATTTAAACCATCAGAGTATTTAAACCATGGACAACAGAGCTGCTTCATGGAAGAAGAACCTCAGTTTAGCCTGTTAGCCTTTGCGCTAGTGCTGACGCTATATTGCCTTATACTGTATGCATTAGCTCTGCGCTAGCGCAACAAACAAGCTAAACTGAGGTCCTCCATCTATAT